CCTATTTAAACTCCTATAGATAGATAGTAGATGTATATGTGACTGGTTCACACCATCTGGGGCTCAATAATATAAAGAGATTGTCACCAAAAAAAGAGACTATGAGATAAAAAAAAATCCCTGTGTTCAGGAAATGAAGTTAATTTTTGAGTCTGTTTGCTTTTCTACACCAGTCTGGGATTTTTTTCGTTGTTGTTTTGTTTTGCCATTAAGCTGGTCGTAGATGAGCAAAGCAGGGTAATCCGTTACTAAACAGCTGCAATTAGTAGTTTTATAATGAAATACAAATGTCCCCAGTAGTTTAAAAATACTGATTATCTTAAGGGTTTGTGGCAGACAAAAGCAAAGACAATTGGGATGTGCTTGCTAAAAGTTAGGAGTAGATAATATGATGGACTGGATCCAAGATGAATTCAGCATGCCAAATCATGTTTCTGCCAGCCTTAACAGGGTAACACTTTCCTCCCTTCAGACTGGAGAAATATGAACTCTTCTGCAGCTCTCAGACTTCATCCATCTGTTGCTGTTTCTTAGTTCCTTAGAAAAAGAACGTGCAGGTGCATGTTCAGTCTGTTACATACAGCCCATTCAACAGTTTCTATTCACACTTTAATATTAGGTGTTGTTTTCAGCGCAGTGCAACTTCTATACACGAGTCTTGATCGTGATTGGGATTCATGAGAAAAGTAAAATGCTTTAGTGTTTTTTGCAAAGTCACTGTTGGCACTGGAGGCCACCTCTGTGATAGATACCCATAGTCACTCAAAAACACCATCTGGAGCAGCTAGACTGACAGATTATTACCATCTGTCTCTTATGAACACCTGGACCTTTGTGATCTGAGCTCGATCTTTCTCTCTCTCTTTCTGTTTCTGGGCCTGTTTAATCACAAACAGTATGATTGCATAGAGGATTTAATCTCCCGCATTTAGTTGGTTACCCAAAGACTATTATCACTAGTTGTAAAGTGCCTATGTGTTGTCATCTGTTCACACTGCTACTGCTTGCATAGCGTGCATGTTATCATGCAGTGCTTAGACAACAGGCATAAAAGCACCGGCTATAAACAGACATATTATAAGAGAGAGAAATGGCACTTTAAGATTCCTGCATGTAAATTTATTGGAGAATTCCACAAGAGAAAAATGTAAGTGTTGCTGTCAGATTTCAGTGGTAATTATATACATGCATTCTTTATTTGACCACTGAGATTAAGTCAATACATACATATTAGATCAAAATAACTGCTTTGCGATGCTGCAGGCTTGTTTCTATAAATACTGTAAGATATTGAAGGGAAGTTTGTGTGGCTTCTGTGTCGTAGACACAATGCAAGAGTTAAATTACAGGAACACTAATCGAGAGTGCCAAGATGAAGTATCATGAAACACTTTAAATTGTAAATAGTATGAGATCCTGCTCTGTCCTTAACAATATAGTTGTTTTTTGACTAGAAAATTTCAGTACAACTTCTCTACCTTACCTCTTCTATATGTTTGTGTATGTGTATAACAGAATATCTGGGATAGGCTGCCAGGTCACCAACAGTCGATCTAGACTGGAAAGATTCAATTTTCTTTTTTTTATAAGTAAATCAATTTTCCATTTCTCAACTACCTTGAGACTCTGTTGGATTTAACTTAGTCCCCGAAAGACTTAATGAGACACTATAAGCCTCCAGCTTCAGATTTAAAGAATATATTTACTTCATAGCAGTAGTGAAGGTAATAGCCTATTACACCTGTGCGATCTAGGGAATCCAGCACTAAGAGGGTCTTCAAAGCTTTATAAATGACTCTAACTTAACTCAGCAAAATCATTGGCAACTACATCAGGGTGATTCTGTACACAGATTAATAAAAAGTAAAGTAAAAAATCTGATTTTTTTGTCAGTCAGCTTTACACCAAACCTGAATATAATATCAGCCAAATGTTCCCTCCGTCTCTCTTCTGCTGCATTCGGTGCCAGGTGCGGTTTTGAGTGGCCCTGTGCAAATAACCTAAATGCAAATGCAGTGGGACTAGAACAAATAACAGGCTTCAAAACTTGATGTGTTGTGCTGTATCTTACTAATATCTCAGTCTGTGTTTTTCTCGCTGTTTTTCTACGGGGTGCATAAAATCTTGATTGGAGCGGCTGTTGACATAACTTAGCATATCTTTGATTCTGGTACACTTTTAGTTATGTCTAAACTAAAGTCTGTATGCATCATTACATAAAATATATGTATATCTGAAACTAAAAACTAAGCTGAATAGCACAAATCAACTGACTGGAGCAGTCTTAGCTTTATAGGAAAAGGAGTTTGCTGCTGTTCTGCTGATTTTTGGCTTTACGAAACTGTAACAGTGTTACGGGTCTGTTATGTAATGGTGATTTGCTGTGAGACACAGTATGACTTCTTTACAGCATTTCAGAGCTGTGCTGAGTCTGTCTTCTGAAGCATAAAGACACTGTGAGTAAAAGAATTCAGCCCAGATAAAAAATTAAAAAATAAATTGCACCTCTCTGTGAATCGTGGAGTTAGCTGGCACATGAATGGCTTGACTCAAAAATAGACATTTCCAATTGTATAGTTTTCTTTGGAAAAAAAATACGCACCTGACAAACAGTTTGTACTTCTACTGAGTTTCTTCTCCTATCTGAAGTATCTCTATGCAATAGCTTGCAGCTATTGGCTTGTTAAACTAAATACACTTTAAAACTCCCTTAATGGAATGTGACACCTTTTCCCCACTGAAAATGTCATCATTTGGTATTTTATAGTCTCACATAATGATTCTGAACAGCTCATCTCCTGCTGTTCCTCAGGGAATCCCAGCAGAGCCTTTTTACTTTATAAGATTCTCACTGGAGAGAGCTTTTTGCTAACTGTGCTCAGCAAGACACTACATTCAGAGAGTGAACACGGACTTATTATTACATATACATGCATTTCTTAATTCTGCAATTATAGCCACATACATAAGCTTCTGTCAGCCTCTGATTGTGTGACAGCACCCTGATGAAGGGCTGCCATTACGCATGCACAGTGATTAATTATGCTTTTGTTTTTTAAGTGTTTTTAGTTCGGCGTTGGTGAGGTGATTAAAGCCTGTTTTTAAATGTGTGATTAAAGGAAATGGAGATGCTGGAGATTGTTCCCCATGCCTCATACAACAAGCACACACTGTCACTGCTGCCCCCTTGTGCCACATGCCTTTGCTGGGTAGTGTTTCCTTCCCTCGTCTGCAAAACAGACCAAAGAGAAGACAATAAATTCAAGCTTGATATGCTGGAGACTGATTCAACTAATTGTGTAATTAATTTAACTTAAGAGATGCTGAAAGCTTTAAATATTAGTGGACAGCAGGGTGAATTTCACTGTTTTCCTTGCTGATTATATATATATATATATTAGATTTGTAGTCAAGACCGCCTAAACCAAGACCGAGACAATACCAAGACCAGAGGGTATCGAGACCCAGACAAGACCAAGACAGACTGAGTCAAGACCAAGACAAAATCGAGACGAGACCAAGACCAAGACAAAAAAGTCTTTAAACTGCAGCCTGACACCCGTAAACGAAGCAGTTTACGGGTGTCAGGCATATTTATGTGTTTTTGCGATGCACTCGCGCAGCCCTCCTCACCGCTGCCTACTGTCTCACTCACTTACTGAGAGGACAGACGCTCGCTCCACTTGACTGTCGCGTCGCTCACCCTCTCTGTTTTTCACATAATGATATTGTCCTATATGCTCGCATGTGATTGGCCACAATATGGAGGGATTGGAGCATAGCTGAGCCACTGTGTGAGAGCTGAGCAGCGAAAGGAAATTAAGTGAGGAGCCGGCTCTCGCTGAATGGGAGTCGACTCTTCTGATTCACTACAAAGCACTCTCTAAGCACGGCTCTTGGAGCTGATGCTTTTGCGCATGACACATTATCAAACGTTACGTTGTGTGTCAGGATACTGTTGACTCCAAATCTCCCGACCACTATGTCGATCTGAGACAGCAAGACCGAAACAGCGAGACCAAGACAAGACCGAGGGATCAGAGATCAAGACAAGACCACGACCGTGTAAAAGACCGGTCTCGAGACATCCAACTCTAATATGTATGTCTCTTTTTCCAACCTGTCTATTGAGTTAGTGACATTATCATTTGTGATATTTATTTTACTGAGTTGTTAATCCCATGAGTAGTTTCTCGCGTTTTTAATTGCAAATCAAAGATGCTCGACAAGTGTGCTCTTCCTAGAGCTTGACAGATGTGTCTCTATCAGCGCAGCAGGATGTTTAATGCAAGAACACGTATGTTGCGATCCTTTTTCCAGCAACATTTTGCTCTTTTGCAGGGCAGAGCCATTCAGCTATCGCTAAAAACATCTGAATTACAATGCAGTGCTGATTTTTAGACCTTAAAATGCCATTGCAGCATATACAACAGCAGAGACTGACTGGGTCATTGTTAATGCCTCTGTTGTATATTAGTGAATTATCTGGAAAGTGACGAGGGCACCATACACTTACCAGCCACTTCATAACTTAGAATTTACCAGTTCCAGGTTGTTCATCTTTTCTTTGTTTTAATTCTTCACAGATTCAACAAGGTGCTGGAAACATGCCTGAAAGATTTTGGCTCATATTGACATGATAGCATCACACAGTTGCTGCAGATTTGGCAGCTGCAATCATGATACAAATCTCTCGCTCCACCACATCCCAGATTTGCTCGATTGGATTGAGATCTGCTGACTATGGAGGCTGTTTGAGTACAGTGAATTCACTGTAGAAAGCAGTTTCAGACTGAGTTTTGTGAAGTGGTGGATCGAGCAGCAGTTTCTTAAAATACTCAGATGAGCCCCTCTGGCACTAACAACCATACCATATTCAAAATCAACATTTTCTTTCCCATTCTGATACTCAGTTTGAGCTTCAGCAGGTTTTCTTGAGCATGTCTACCTGCACTAAGCTGCTGCCAACCTCTTCTGTTCACATTAAAAAGCGATGAGGTTGGAGACGCTGGGGACCGAACCCAGGACCTCATACATGCAAAGAAGGCGCTCTACCACTGAGCTACATCCCCAACTCTGCTTATACTCAATGTCTCTTTGTCCTGAGCTTCACTTTTTAGCTTACAGAAACGTTGCAAAAGCGTTTGACAAGCTATTTTCCAGTGGCCACGATACTCACTTGTGCAGTAACTGGCCTAAATTTTTTCAGGCACACTTGTCTGTGTTCACCACGCTAGTTACCACCAAGTTGGCAGCACTGAGAGGCACTGTGCTTTCAGCGAAGAAGGTGAAGTGTGGAGCTGAAAATTGTTTTGAAAGATACTAGATAAACACTGACACAAGCACTCCTCCTTCACCTCCACTCTACACTTTTTATTGGATGCCACAGTCGTAGTAAATTAGCACATACCAGGGAATAGCTGTGTTTTAACCATAAAAGCAGTATTTTATTTTTGTAGCCTGTTTTTTGAACTTTTTGAAGTTTTAACCTTCACATTTATTTCTGAGCTAAGAACTGTGGCTGATAAATGCTCTACATAAAGGTAATGCATTCACACAAATATTGTGTAGCTGTTTTGTTTATGTGACTGAACACAACTTTTGTGTTGCTTTTACACTAGTCATTTAAATCGGCATGCCAAACTGTGCTTGTGTATGTGTCAGATTTTAACATCTTTTCTCATTTACAATTTGCCTGATGATAGAGTTAAGTCCTATGAAAATCCATGTGACGCAGGCTTCTTGAGCTTCTCTGAAAATCCCTTTCAAATGGCTGACAAAATGCGTTTCCTTATCGTCATATTTTGACAAAATACTCATTCAAACAGTTCTAGTCTTTTGCACATCACTTCTGAGCTTTGTCAGAGCATTTATCTTATTCAAATATAGAATTTTCAAATGCTTCTCGAAGTGACAAAACAACCATTTCACCCACATTTAGTCCCAAAATCCAGCTTTCAAGTGACAGCCTTTATTCAACTAAAACACCATCCACAGTGTGTTTGTTATGGATTGTGGAGGTTGTATATTATCCCGTCATTGATCTATCCTCCATTCCTCCATGCATTAGTCTCACATCAATAAGCCTCTTTATTGCTTCTCTGCTGTAGCTTGGAGGAAAACCTATTTTCTCACACAGACTCCCAGGCCTGCACCCAGGTTCAGCAAGGAGCACATAACCCTATCACTTTAAAAATATATAGTTATGGTGTCAGTGAGGGAAAAAATGTCAACATTGTATAAATTAACATTATTTTATGAGTTTTTACAGCCTTTATTCCTGATTATAACTGTTCAGATGCTTCAGAATTTTAACCATTTACTTATTAGTTTTTATTATGCTGTTAATGTTTTTTGTTGTTTTTGTTATTTTCATTTTTTAATGAAAAAAAACCAAAAATGCATTATTTTATGTATATCAAGTATTACAGAGAAATCTATACATATATATAAAAAAAACATCAGCCTGGTAAAGAATGCCCAGCAGCAGCTGCACTTCCTCCGTGTCCTGAGGAAGAACAACTTGGACCAGACGCTGCTCCTCAGTGGAGAGCGTGCTCTCCTACTTCCTGGTTTGCAGGGGCCACAACTGAGAACAGGAAGGCTGTGCAGAGGGTAATTAACACCACCCAAAAAATCATGGGCTGCCCTCTGCCACACCTGAAGGTCATTGCCAGATCCTCCTGTCTCAGAAAAAACACACACAAGGGTTGTTGTTTTTTTATCTTTGCTTTGTGCGGTCAGCTTTGTATTCTTCTAGGAGAAAGATCTTAGATTTGTGTCCTCATTAGGGATTTGTGTTGGTGTATGGGCTTGTAGCCTCAGGTTTATATTGTTAAATGGTGATAATGAGACTGTGTTTCAGCTATTTTAATGAGTAACGTGAAAGTAATACATCGAGTAGTATAACAAATTACTTTTTCCCGGGAGTAATTAAGAAACATACTACATTACTTTGAAGTAATGTGTAATATGTGTAATATATGTAATAAGGCCGGGGTGTTTCTCTGTGGAGTTTGCATGTTCTCCCCGTGTTTGCGTGGGTTCTCTCCGGGTACTCCGGCTTCCTCCCACCGTCCAAAGACATGCAGCTTGTGGGGATAGGTTAATTGGATAATCCAAATTGTCACTAGGTGTGAATGTGCGGATGAATGTGAGTGCGAATGGTTGTCTGTCCCTGTGTGTTGGCCCTGCGACAGACTGGCGAACTGTCCAGGGTGTACCCCGCCTCTCGCCCTATGACAGCTGGGATAGGCTCCAGCGCCCCCCGCGACCCTGAAAAGGACAAGCGGAAGCGAATGGATGGATGGATATGTAATAATGACTTTTGAGTGAAGACTGATCACAACTAAGGGAGGAAATAAATTTGTAATTTATTTATTGCTGCTTAGCAAAGGTGGTGACTCACAACAGAGCCAATGAGAACCCAATGACAATCGATAAGGAATCGAATCAATGAGGATAATGGAATCAAAATCGCTAAATTCTTATCAATTCCTATCCCTAGATATAACAGTGGTGACAATAAGATTCAAAATTGATACTTTGTTATTATTTTTGTAGGGGGTTCACTTAAAAAAAATCAAAGTCAGGATGTGAGAAGACAAAATGTCTTTGACATAAAAGCTGCCATAACAAAAGCAAGGCGAAGGGGATGTAGCTCAGTGGTAGAGTGCATGCTTCGCATGTATGAGGCCCTGGGTTCAATCCCCAGCATCTCCAGTTTTTCAGTCCTTTAATCAGCTTTAGACTGTCAAAATATATACAATTTTCATATTCACCGGGGTTAAAGTAATACAACATGAATCGTCATCATAACTACCAAATATAAGTTGATTCTCTTATAGTATGACCTGAGGCTGAGGTCCAATAAATTACAATAATTTGTGAGACCCAAATGTTAAGGCAGTCACTACCTTTTAACAACAGTTCTTTTTAATAAAATGCAGAATTAAGAAATAGAGAAAACCAACTTCATTAGCATGTCATGCCAATCAGTATACTGTGTTGGTGACCTATATTACTACAAAGCAGGCCTAACATATAGTTTATCACAGCAATGTCAATCCAAAGCTACTTACAGCATTAAAAAGTTGGAGATGCTGGGGATTGAACCCAGGACCTCATACATGCAAAGCATGCGCTCTACCACTGAGCTGCATCCCCTTGTAGCAGGTACCTGATCCCATAATATTATCCCGCTGTTTAGCCTTTGGTTGCTTGTGAGATGGTCATACAAGAGGTTAAACTGTCTTTTATTCTTTGGACTACAAATGACTAGTCTGGATGTCCAGTAACTGAAGATGAACAGGTGATACATATTTTGTATTTTTGACTGTTCTTCTAAAAGTCCTAGCTCAAAGTCTCCGCACTAATTCATCCAAAAGGTGTTCTAGATGGTTGAGGTAAGGACTCTGTGCAGGCCAGTCGAGTTTTTCCACACCAGATTCGTTCATCCATGTCTTTATGGGCCTTGCTTTATGCATTTGCTGTGCAGTTGAGTTGGAATAGGAACGAGCCATCCCCAAACTGTTCCCACTAATCTGGGAGCATGAAATTGTCCAAAACACCTTGGTATGCTTAAACATTAAAGAGTTCTTTTCACTGGAACAAAGGGGCTGAGCCCAGCTCCTAACAAGCAACCCAAAACCATAATCCCACAAAAGCAACCGCCAAACCCAGAATCGTCTATCCGATTGCCAGATGAAGAAGCGTGATTCATCACTTCAAAGAACACATCTCCACTGCTCTAGAGTCCAGTAGCTTTTATCACTGGATCAAACACTTTGCAATGAACGTGGTGATGTAAGGCTTGGATGCAGCTGCTTGGCCATGGAAACACATTCCATGAAGCTCTCTATGCACTGTTCTTGAGCTAATCTGAAGGCCATGTGAAATTTGGACATCTGTAGTAATTGACTCTGCAGAAAGTTGGCGACCTATGCGCACTATGCACCTCAGGTGGCCTACCATCTTGTGGCACTTTGTTAAAATACCATTAACTGACTATGGAATATTCATAACAAGGAAATTTTACAGCTGGACTAGTGGCATCCTACCATAGTACCACCCTGCAATTAACTGAGCTCCTGAGAAGGACCCATTCTTTGATAAACCATTGTAGAAGCAGTCTTCTGGAACAAACAACTGTATACCCACTAGAGATGGACCGATCCGATATTACGTATCGGTATCGGTCCGATACTGACCTAAATTACTGGATCGGATATCGGAGAAAAATAAAAAATGTAATCCGATCCATTAAATATCACGAAAGCACCTCACAAAACTTGCAACACACCGTAACTCACCTCAGAACGTTAGCAGTCGGAGCAGTATGCATCACGTGATAGAGCGGCTGTGGCATGCGGGACCTGTCAGTGGTCTGGATAGCATGTGGAGCTTCGCTAGCAACCCGGCATTTCATCTCCGACAAAGTTATCCCGAGAGAAGTAAAGCAAGTGTGTAAGTCCATCTCTGAATGTTTGTAAAGCATTCCTGCGTTAAGCTTAACGAGCGACTGCCTCTCCTGCTGCTACTTCAATCATGAAACTGCTTAACGATCAGCTGATCGGCTTTTCTGTGCGAGTCCGTGTCTCTAGTTTGCTTTTGGCCCACGTTGCACCAGAAAGAGGAAACCAGCGGCTGAACAACAGCAGCACGTTTAAGCTTGATCAGCTGTTGTTAGAATTTATTTATTATTACTTTCTACTCCAGGATCTTTTTCTACGTAGCTGACGCTGGTAACTGTGCAGGGCGGATCTAGCAAAGTTTAGCCAGGGGGGCCGATAGGGCATTAACTGGGAAAAGGGGGCACAAAGACATACTTTTCTTTCTTATTCTCATTTAAAATGTCGAGCTTTTAATAAATAATTATCTGACAGCCAAAGTTTTAATTTGATGCAAAATGTATAGAAGTCCATTACTGTATATAGTAACTATTAAGTCTAATATATATACCCTAGTAAGCTATAGTACTTTTTCCTTTGGGAAGGTACCATCTGTGCAGTCTGCAATTTTGTTGAAGAAAGATGTTGAATCTATTTAATATTTCTTGAAAAATAATTGATTT